GAGAGAGAGAGAGAGAGAGAGAGAGAGAGAGAATGTTAGTTAAGAGAAGGCATTTTTAACTTTTAAACAATTTAAACAAAAATTATTTTCTCATGTCATCTAAAAATTCGTGATTACTATAAATGTGTTCACTTTTTGTTGTTTATTATTGATGTTATATTAAAACTCTTTTAAATTTAGATTCAATTTAATATTTCTTCATTTGTTTTTAAATCATATTTTAAAAAATAAATTGAAAAATTGATTCTTCATTCGCTTTTGACATGATTTTAAACATCACTTTATTATTGTTTTCTGCGATATCTTTAACAAACAGAAACATTAATAAATGTCTCAAATGTTTCTCAAACAATACAATTAAATACATTTCATTCTCTCTCTCTCTCTCTCTCTCTCTCTCTCTCTCTCAAATCAATTTGTGTTTTGCAATTATGTTTCTACTAAACATACGTTTAATTGAAAATTAAAATAAAACAAAACAAAAACATATTTTTATTATCCAATTATAAGAAACAATTTATTGCTATTTTAAAGTTTTATTTTAATATTTATAAAATTAAAATGTGATAAACTAACAGCGAGAATGTGCTAGTTAAGATGCCAGATAAATGCTTATATCCATTTATAACTTTTTATATCATATTTAGTGTCTTATATTTCATAAGTTTTGCGAAATGTCTTTTTATACAAAACAATACTAACAATAACTAAATGTGTTTTCTTTGTATAATCTAATGTGAAATAATATGTCGTTATCCCAGACATAAAGTCAAATAATATTTGTTTAACTAATGTTTATTTCATTCTTTGCGTTTATAAAAATGATATTTTATTTTTATTTTTACATTTTTAGCACAAAATTAAAACTCATTAGAGGAGCCATACATACCATTAATAGTTATGATAAAAATTGTTTGTATTTTTGAATTATTATTTGAATTTTTTTCTTTATTTAGATGTGTTTTCCGTAATATCTTTTCGGAACAAAAACCTGATTTGCTTTCGAGAATAAATATATTATTTTATAATTTAATAAATGTGTAGAAAAATGAGTGAAATTATTATCAGATTTTTAAACCTCTTCCTTGTCTTCGCTTTAATTGTTTACTTTAAGCGTTGATTTCTTAATATCAAATTAAAATTTTTAATTTTCGCATTTAATTTGTAATTAAAATGAATTAAAAAACACATTACAAAACAATATTAACAAACATTCTTTAGGTAAAAGTGTTAGGATTTGTATTCATGTGATGTTTTTGACTAAAAATAAGTTTGCATTTTGTATACCGATTACCGTTAAATCATTTAACATTTAACTTAAATGGATTACATTTCAAAATATGTTATTATAATTTTAATAATAAAAATTCTTTCATTTTTGGTTATATAATACAAGAATTTATAATCAGTTTTAGTGGTATATATAGATAGAGATCCGAGAGATCTTATCTCATATCTCACAAACATTTGATTTATGATTGATTTACTTAAACGAGTTTTCTTTGGTTATGGATTTCATGTAATTTACAAAAACATTTTTTGTTTCCTTTTATACAAATTAATGTTAATGTATTTAAATATGAATATATATTTAATTAATTGCATTTGAATTGTTGTTTATTTAAATATTTGTTTAAAAAGAGCTACAAATATGTATATGAGAGCGAAATCTAATCTAAATCTCGTTGTAAATTAACTCTCGAAAGTATGTATTCATATAATTGAATGAAATTTTTCTTATTTGTTATTCATTTGTCAATTGAATTGAAAAAATATAAAATAAATCTGAAAAATAATAACAAATTGTATATGAATTTCCATAATATATTCCTATTATTGTTATTATGATTACTATTAATACATAAAAATATAATTCAAGTGAGATTTGACCCAATATTCTTGCCCTCTCTCTCTCTCTCTCTCTCTCTCTCTAATATAGTTTCAGATTTGCTTTTACTTATGTTTTTTCAATTTACATAACAATTACGGAAAAGAGTTACAAAAAAATTCTCAAACGCACAGCAAATATGTGTTTATTTAAAGTGATATAAGAGTAAAATAAATATTATTTTTATTTGCAATAATAAAAAAGTTAAATTCAAAATAAAAATTTAATAAATGACTTATTTTTACTGTAAGTAAAATCATTTTCAAAACAACTATTATTACGTCTTTTGGTGCAAAAAATATTTGTTTCAATAATCTGTTTATTTCACTAAAAAATCATTAAATAACAAAACAGTCATTTGGAAACTTTTAATGATTTTAATTAGAGGTTAAACATTAATTCTCAGAATTTAACAATAACTTTACGGAGATGAAATTGTAATTAAATCAATCATCATGGTACATTGAAATAATAGTCATTGTAGTACAATATAATAAGAATATTAGTTCATTTAAAGTACATTATTATGGAAACAACTTAACACATGTTTTGTCGGTCACACTTATAATTAATTGCTATTATAAAACAATGATTAACAAAATGAGTGTATTTTATAATAAATTGACAAAACGTCAAAAGCTTATCGACATTTAGAGTATATAACAATTGGCATTTCTAATAATTTTTAAAAATATTTAGTTGTTTCAAATCATTGGAAAATGTCTTTACTTTTTGTAATTAACAAAATTATAATAATTCAATTATTAATACTATGTCTATATAAACAAACATATAGTGAACGATGCGGTCTCGCGAGCCAAGCGACCCGTATAGTAGGCGGCCAACAGTCGCGACCGCTGTCGTGGCCGTGGATGGCATTGCTTACGATTAGGCAAACGAGTATCAGATCGACGTCACTCTCGCGGTGCGGCGGAAGTCTCATTAGCGACGAGTGGGTACTGACGGCAGCCCATTGTGTGTCACCAAAGACTGGTTCCCAGATATCAGATATTCAGATAACTTTTGGTGAATACGACACTCGGAGATACGAGTCCACCGAAGTCAAGCGTCACGTCGCGGCAGTGAGTCATTATTATCATGATTATTGCATACTTAAGTGACCATGATGAAATTAACCTAAACTTATATAAACAGGTATATCTCGACTCATACAGCGATAGCTCCAACGCCAATGACATCGCGCTCTTAAAACTGAACCAAAAGCTCGATCTGAAGAGTGCTCACAATTTTCTGCAACCCATATGTTTGCCGACTGCGGGTCTGCAGGTAAAGGGCGACACATGTGTGGCCACCGGTTGGGGCGCTAATTACGGCGGCGGTCGGGGTTCAGATGTGCTGCAAGAGGTGCGGCTCCCCATAGTAGCCAATAACGTGTGTCAGTGGCGCTGGAGGTCTGCGTTTAGCCCCGATAGACAACTCTGTGCCGGATATATGGAAGGGGGCAGAGATACGTGTCAGGGGGACAGCGGAGGGCCCCTCAACTGTCAGATCGCTAACGGGGCGTATCTTCTTCAGGGGATCACGTCTTACGGCGGCGGTTGTGCCCAACCCAACAGTCCGGGAGTGTATACCAAAGTCTCCACTTATATGCCGTGGATTGAGAGGACAACAGGACTTAAATTTAATTAATTTTAATGTATTTCCAAATGAAAAGTATTTATAATAAGTAATAAAGTAATCATTGAGAAAATCTGTTTTTAACTGTAAATAAAAATTCCAAACAAAGTAATTCAACGATAAAATTAAGTTATTTTCTTATCAAAGTAAACATTAAATTTCGTATTTATCGCTGAGTTTTCGCATAAAAACATTTAAATTTATATAAATAACTGCAAAAAGTTGCCAAATATTAAAATATTTAATGAAATTCCTGTCACATAATCACAGGACCTGTCATCAGGAAAGCCTTTTACAGCATTTCAAGTATGCATTTTTTGTGATACTTTTCTCTATCTTAAAAAACGATGAAAAATATAATTGAAATGTTTTGTTAAGTTAATAATTAATTGATTTGAATTTTAGTAAACTTTTTAGGCTTTGTATTCATTGAACACTTATTGTAATTGAATTTTTTGCAAAATTTAACAGACATTTCAATTTGAAACCATTCAACAACTTTTGTTTTTGTTATTTTAGTATCCGTTGGATTGTTTACCTAATAGTCATGTGAGTATTTGTATAATTATAAATTAATTAATTATAAATTTAATATTGATTTTAATTATTATTTAATAAACAGACCAAACGGTTATTCAATATGTTTTGTCGTTTTATGTCAAACATTAACTAAATTCTTAAACCAAAAATGAAATCAAAGCAATCATAAGAATCATATTAATTACAATCAGAACTCAAGGATAACTTGTTTTTTGTTTACCCAATTGAGACGAGATATGATTTTTTGTGAATACATGCAATGATTTTAATATAAATCATTCATTCAGTCATTTAATCAATAGACAGATATTTATAACATATTATTGATTCAAAATAAGGTATTATTGATCTTGAATTTGGATTTTTGTAAAAAATACTCATAAAATTGATTGTTCTTTAAAGTGGTTTCTAAAGTGTTTGCCTGAAAAATGTTGTGGTATTTCATCGGTATGTCATATGTTGGACAAAAATATTGTGATCAAAACGTGAACAAAGACATCATTACTGCCATTAATGATAAAACAAATAATGTTAATAACAATAATAAGTGTAAAGTCTGTCAACAGTGCAGTAATGGCAAGAATCAGATGTTTTCACGACAAGGATTGCGACGATCTTTATATCGGTATTTCAAATATCTGTCAAACAAAAAGACAAATAAAGACAAAAAAGTTTTTACAACTATTTATAGACATTTATTAATCTAATCGATTGATTGATTAAATGCTAATTTTGTTACTTTTTTCTCACATTTCCATGAATAGCCAGAAAAGCAAGTTTTTCGACAGGAATGACAATTACAAGACTCTCTAATTGAATTCATAAAAGAGTTAAGAATATTATGGTAAATCTTGTGGTCATGTAATTATATATGAAATCACAAAATTTAGATATTTCTCTTCATTTTGTAATTAATTATATTTAAATTTATACAAGTTTTACATTAATTATTGCACAAATATTTATTATTGTATTGTAATTAATGAGATAAATGTCACATAAATTTGTATATGTCTTTGAAAATTATTTTCTATTATACAATATATAATTTATAATAACTATAATTACATAATAAAAGGCTATTCTCTGTAATTAAATACATATTGAATGCAATAAAATAAAAAGCAAAGAAATGTTTAAAAACAATGTATTATTAAAAAGTGATAAAACTTTAACGAAGAAAAAACTCGTTTTCCTTGAAGTCTGTATATATCTGCACAAAATCAGTGATTTCAAAGTTACTCAACTTTTTTTGCGAAATAAAATTTTACAATTTTAAAGTTTTAAATAATTTTTAATTTAATTATTTGTACTTTATTTGTTAAAGTGTGAAAAATGTATTGCAATTACCGTTTTTCCATGACTATAAACCTGCGCTCATATAATGCGTGGAAAACAAAGTGTAAAATAAGTCATTTATTTAAATTTACTTTCCATACAAACGTCAGAATAAGATTAAAATAAGTGATGATTTAATTCACTTAAGGATTATAACAATAAATTAGGCTTATTTAGTATGGTTTCAAAGGCAACACCTACTTCAATATGAAAATACTATCGTTACTTTTTCTTACATAATATATTTGTAAAGAATTAATTTTAGGTTAATGTTAAACAATTCACTCTTTTTTAGGCAACTTTTATGTCATTTTATAACCAACAAAGTCTCTCTCAATAACCAAATATTTTCTCATATGTAATATATCTTTACATTACATTCAGTACTCGTTTACCAAAAGGGTTTAGAAGAAGTAATTTATATCACGTTTACAACCGAAGTGTATGACTGTTTTGTAAGTAAATTATATTTTATCTATCAATCCATGAAATACTAATTAATTTTCTTTAATGATAACAAAATATTCAACAATATGTTTATTAGATATAATTTCACTGGTATTTCAGTAAAATTATATATTTATAAACATGTTTAACCTAACAGTTATAATAACTGATATAATCGTTATAATTAATCATATTTCCTACGAGTGATTCATTTAGTAAAAAACAACATTCATATGATATTATATATCATTTAAATATTTTTGCAAATGATGTTATTTTTCAGTGAAAAATATGTTTTTTTATTCCTGAAAAACATATGAAAACTTTCCCAAAACATATGAAATTTAAGGCAAATAAACTCTCAAAGAAGTATTAATTCAATTATTGACGTAAAATGTTTGAACGAAATGAACATTTTTGTACACAATTGACAATTCAATACACAATGCAATCACAATGTATTGTATTCACTGTTTTAAATCATTTTAACAAACATATCATTACTGATTTATATAATGCTAGTTTGATAGTCAAACTTTGATTAGCGATGGTTTGTTTATGATTTTCAATACATATTTTTAAATCAGATTAATAATTGGCAATAAATTATTAATGATTTATGAGTAATACTAATAATATTCGTAAACATGAAAATGAGTTTGAAATTCAATCACGCAATGCATTTGTTTTTGAATTTTAAAATCATATAAAAATCATATCATTCTCTTTGTATGCAATTTATGGATACCTTTACCCACAGGTATGACATAAACCTTGAATTAATTAGCAGTGAAAGGGGAGAAACATATTGGGATCTCATAGTCTATACATGTATTTAATATACAAAACATAACAATCAACTGAAATGGTTGTTAAGGATTGATTGGTCGAGTAGTTAACCAAAAGAAATGCATTCTTCACGTCAGAGCCCTATCAGTGAATTGAGTGGCAATCGTCGGAAATCACAGTTTTGTTTCATTTAATATACAGTATATCTCTGTCTATAAATAAAAAGACAAACAAATCAAATGTGTTGTAAAACTATCGTAAAAAAGGTATAAAAGTTGAGATCATTTGTAAAAGTTTTGGAATTTCTTCTTATTTCGTGTTTCGTTTTGTTTAAGAAATTCTTTATTTTATAATCAATTGCTATATTAAAAAAGTAATATAAATAGCAATTAAAAAGGTTTATATAATACTTAATTATACAGTAAAGTGCAGTTAATGGGAGAGAATAAACGTTTCTCCACTTATGCTAATAAAAAGTAAGAATTTAATTACTTTTCGTATAAATTGTAAGTGAAATCATATCCCGTTTGCAATCAAATACTGCATTTCATTACATTTTGAGCTTTCATTGATTTTGTGAATCGTTTCTCTCAATAACAAAATAAGGAGTAATTCAATGGGTTTTCTAAGTTGTTTCGGACTCCGGAGTAAGTCTTATAACGCGAAGAAACATGAGTTGAATAGAGATAAGGAGGAGAAGAAGAGCAAACGCCGCTCCACTGACGACATCGGTGTCGCCGACTCTAACGTCTTCCCCACACTTATCCACGAAACCGCTTATAACGAGACCGAAGACACCGACAAAGACAACAACCATCACAAGCACCACAACGGCGGCCACAATCACGCCAACAACGATCAGCACCACTCACAACACGACCGCAGCCACGATAGCCATCACGAAAGTCATGGACAACATTCAGAAGCGCACAGCTCTGGCCATACAAGTCACGAAGAGTCGGCCCAACACAGCGGCGCTCATCACGAAAGTCACGCCGATTCCGGACACCACACCTCTGGCCACGACAGTCATGGCTTCTCAGATCACAGCACTTCAGATGATGGGCCCAGTGGTGGACACTCTGATGATTGAGTACGGATTTAATGATTTTGTTCATGTATTATGAATACATTTGTCAGTGTATTGTATTTAAAGATGATTTTTATACCGATTTATTAAATATTAATTATACTTTTATTAATTAATTGTAAACTTCCACTACAGTATGCGTTGTTTTTGTAGTTAATTATATGTTTTAATTTGTCAGTGTATTGTATTTAAAGATGATTTTTATACCGATTTATTAAATATTAATTATACTTTTATTAATTAATTGTAAACTTCCACTACAGTATGCGTTGTTTTTGTAGTTAATTATATGTTTTAAATATAATCCTATATACATGTGAAACTGTAAAACTAATACTTATGTAAAAAAATAAAATTAAAACTTTATAATTCAAATTTAGAAAATGTTTTTGAAAAGAAAAGTTTTTCAAAAGTATAATGAAATCATTGGATCGGAATTTTGCATGAATTTACAAGAAATGTTGGGTAAATATAATGAATAACTATCTCATGTAATGAATTGCTTGACATACAACTTGTGATAATAATTTATTGAATTAAATATTGATTTACTATTAATAAACAACCAAAAAGGTATTTTGTAGTCAACACATCTCTAAACAAATATTTTTTATGTAATGCCCGATAAAAATACAGATCATTGTAAATAAAACGATGTAAAAAATGTAATAAAACTATAATCCCAGCTATTTTTATTGTTCACGATAATAGTTAGCTCAACTAAACAACAATCAAAATTGTGAACTTAGCAAAATAATAGGAATATTTTTGCTAGATCATGCAATTCTGGATTTAAGGTACAACA